AAAATGATTGGCCGGTCTGGAAGAGTCCGACCTGCACGTCATAGAATTTAAATAATTAAATATTAAATTAAAATTAAATTTCAATCAATATTTTATTATTTGAATTTAAGAGTGAAACAAAATTTAAAAATTTTCGTCTCTATAAGATTTAAGTAAATTTTTATCTCCAAAAGATTATAAGAGATAAAAAAAAAAAAAAATTAACAAAACGCCAACTAAATAATCCATTATAATTTCATAACTAACCAATACCTCCAACATTAAAGTAACAATAAATAGTCAAAATAATTTAAATAATGTAAAGTTACAAATCATGCCAAATTATCAAAATATCAAGGTCATAAAAAAAAATTAACAAATACATAAACTAATCAAAAATGATTTGGACCCCCAATTTTTCAAACCCCCATGACCCCCCAGTTTTTTTTTTTTGGTTGGAAATTTTTTTTTTTTTTTTTTTTCCTATCTGCCAATCACAATGCCCCATGTGGACTGGGGGTGCTGGGGGTCACCCCCCACTGGGGGTCCCCAGCACGGTTGTAAACTAATATCAATACTAAACTCAAGAAAACAAAAGAAGTCCAAATGACATGTCCAACAACTATAGTTATTTCTCTTCACCACCGTAGTCCCAACTAATCCTGCAAAGAAAGCTCGGCTGCGCTAAAATAGAACGCACCCGAGTTGCCAAGAGGCAAAACGGGTCAGTATACAAGTATACTGATATGAGTACAAATATTTAACACCCACGTGTCCACCAGACACAAATAAAAGTACATTTAATTCTTGTTGTGGGACAAGGCAAGTAGTTCCATTCGCACTAAGACGAAGGGGTAATTTTCCGAAATACTGTGACATTTAATTTCTTACTTGTACACAACTAAATATGAATTGAGTATAGAATAAACAAAATAAACATAAAAAAATTATGAAGGGTCAACCTTGCATAAAAGTTAGTAAGACCCACCATTCTGTAAAAAAAATAGAGTTAGTATAATTTAATCATAAGTAAATTGCTGAAGCAGTATAAAAACGCATTGTTTCATCCTTAATTCATTCGAATCGACCAAAACTCAAAAAATAAAAGTTGTACAAAATCAAATTTTCTAAAAGGTAGCGTAGACGAATTTAGTAGAAACAGAATAGGTTGAGAGCAAAACTTAATAGAAGAACCTAAATAAAATTCGATCGAAAAAAATCTAGAACTGAAAACAAAAAGAAACTGCCTTAAATTGATTTTTTTTGAAAAAGTTCAAAACACGAAAAGTGTTCAGAATAATATTTTACTTCAGTTTACACGAAATCAATAAATGAGCTTGTTTCGTGAGTTAAAACGGCCTTTAAAATTTGCATTGCTAAATTGAATAAAAACTACTATAACTAAGATCATCCAATTACAAGTTCTAATCAATCTTTTTAGTACAAAGTTAAAATACAAAAGTTGTCTAGAATTACGAATATATGCCTCTGCCCAAATTTCATAGTTTATCAAGGTCGTTTACTATTTTTCAAGATGTACAAATCAATACAATTCACACTATACCAATAAACTCATATTTAATTATTTGTACCTTAACTCCACTACTTCGGTCCTTCACTTCCGACCTACACATATATCCCATGTGCTTCCCGTATACCTAACACCCGTAGTCCTAACTAATCCTGCAACGGAAGCTCGGCTGCGCTCAAACAGAACGCACCCGAGATGTTAAGAGATAAAACGAGTCAGTATACAAATATACTGGTATGAGTACAAGATTTAACACTCACATTTCCACCAAACACAAAGAAAAGTATATTTAATTCTTGTTACGGGACAAGACAAGTAGTTTCACACTACTGAAAAAAACACTTTTTGCGACCATCACAAACCGTCGCAAATAATAAAAATACAGTTGCAAAAGATTTTTAAGACGGCCTATGCAACTGCAAATGGGGGACGCAAATCTGGGGGTGGCAAATACTTTTTGTGACGGCAAAGCAACGGTCACAAATTATTTGCGACTGCCTAAACTACTTTTTGCGATAGCTATTTTGCCGTTGCAAAAAAATTAAAAAATAAAAAACACTTTCAGCGACCATTGTTTTACTGTCGCAAATAATTATTTATTAAAAAAAAAATCATAGATGGGTGTGCCACAACAAAATAATCAATTACAAGTACCAAACAATTTTTTATTAATGAAAAATAACGAAATTAACAAATTAATTAAATTTATAATAGACATTATCCATTAACCATCATTAAATATACTGTACAAAAAATTCAAGTCTTAAAAAAAAAAAGAGCAACATAATCTTTGGCTCCCAACATCACCCGCTCGATCGTATCAACTATTCCCTCAACAAAATTTGCAAAAACATATACCAAACCATGGACGAGTAACAATTCAAATATTATATTATACTACTATTATCAAATCTTAATATTGAACCTGAACCCAGCAAAATCTGTAGATGAATAAGTCTGAAGAAAGTAACAATAGACTTTGTATCACACCAGACTCCTGCTGCAGTATCCAGAACTACACACAGAAACATGACAAATCTGAGAAAAAGACTTAAGTGTAGATTTTGTACACCAACAATTTCAACACATTTGCTGGATTACAGGGAAAACGAAAATAAAGGAAAATACTTACAACACTTGATGAGTCCTCCACCATGCGTCCACCACTAAGTACACCACCAGACACATGGAGCCTTGCATTTACAAAAACCTACAAGAGCATAGCACATCTCAATGACTGGTTTCTAGATACCGAATGGGAGGGGGGAAATGTTAATTAACAGTGGGGTCTTTTTCTTTTCTTTTCTTTTCTTTTTTTGGTTGGGAGTTTAAAAGAAAAACTTGCCGATGCATGTTGATATCTAGGAGATAGTGAGACACCAGGAGCAATTGCCCATTCCCACCGACTATCTCTATGTTTTGCAAGTCCATATGCACTGGCCAGTGGCTGAAAAAAAAAATCATTAAGAGAGGATGTAATGAGTCAAACATGTATGACAATGAAATAGGTGTATCTTGACCTTGATAGGGAGAAGGAATCAGATAGACAAAATTCTACAATAATATTCATAGCAGATACAGTAGTATTCAAGACAAACATACTAGCATAAACCTCTACACACACACACAACTAAATATATATGCATGAATTAGACAGCGTCATAATAAAAATTTAAGTAATCATATAAGAAAGATAACAAAACTTAATGCCCCAAAAAAAAAAAGAAAAAAAAAAGAGAGATTCTTCTTTTTGATGTTTAAACCATGTATTAGACTAAATTTAACAGCAACCAAAACAAGCTCTCCATTTGCATACTCCTCATATGCTTATATGCAAAAAGTGTAAAAATACACAAGTCTTTGGGGAGTGTTACCCAAAAATCAAAACTTTGATGCGTTTTTCCTAAGCCTTGCTTGAGGCAACCTCAACAACACCTTTTAAAGTTTTAATGAAAATCATGAAAGTAAAGAGTGCCACCCATAATGGAAGCTCTTAAACGTTCAATGACTAGACACCATCAAAGTAGATATGGAACACTGCCAAATTGACCACTCGTTGACAAACAAAAATAAAAAATAGTAAACAATAAGTTCTACACCTTAAAAACAAACCAGAAGATAGGCAAAGGAAGATTGTTCAACAAGTACAACTGCAGGCTCCCCAAGGAAGGAAACCAACAACCAACTTTAGGGGAGAAAACATATAAAACACAAAGAAAATCATCAATTGTCCTTAGAAAATTAAACTACTTACAGATAAGCTAGCTCAAGTACATGGCTTATAATATATCAACCAATTGAAACTATTGTTCATGCAAAAAAAATATCTTACTACACTGTTAGCATCCCTCCCTCCACAAAGCAGAAGAAGGCCATCAGAACGTGCACTTGCTGTTGCATACCTACTCAAAGCAAGAGGAACAAATGATTGATCAACTAAATTTTTTTTAAATAAATGGCTACTGGTCTGAGCAAGAGAAATTTACATGCATGGAGGTGGACCTTCCTCTTCTAGTTCCAATTTCTACATTCATATGGCTTGGCAGCTGTGTCCAAGGCCCATACATCAGCCAAAGGACACTTTCCTAGAATCATACATCAAATTATTGCTTCCTTCACTGGGACAAACTTCATATATTATACCAAGGGATTGTTGATAGTGTATTATTTGCTTCTTTTGACAGTGGCATATATTCTTCAACCTTGAATAGATTTAATTTTTTGAATTGGATATTTTGATGGCTATACTAGAAATGTATCAATGTGCTCTATCTTCATTTATTTATTTTTTTGAATTAATGATTGAAGACTGAATAGTGATCTTTGAAACATAAACTTGACACGCAGACCTGGCCATAATGCAAATGAAGATGTTCACTTGACAGTGAGGAAATCTACAGCAGGTCCGCATTTGAATATGAGAAATATGGGATTTGTTACGCTACACTAGATGTAAATTATAGTATTTATGGTGCATATATGGTGGTGAAAATCCATTAGAAAAGGAGATTGTAAACTTAAGACCAGGGAAAGCTTCGAGTAACTCACTTAGAGATCAATTAAAATTTGTTATTTAAAATATTAACATATAGTTCTGGGAAAGCTACTGAAGATTAAAGTTGGTTTTGTTGGTTGTTGTTTATGTTGGTTGTTGATTTACTTGATAGATAGTATAAATTTGTTTTGTTTTTTTGTTTTTGTTTTGTGGCATAAATTTATGTTTGGACTTTCTAAATGATAAATGGTGAACTTCAAAATACTTATGATTATAACGAATTTTGATTTTGGTTTTAATTTGAATTGGATACTTTGATGATGGTTATACTAGAAATGTATCAATGTGCTCAATCTTCGTTTATTTATTTTTCTTAATTAATGATTGAAGACTGGATAGTCATCTTTTAAACATAAACTTGACATGCAGATTTGGCCATAGAGCAAATGAAGATGTTCAGTTGATAGTGAGGAAATCTCCAGTCCTCGATTTCTGGAACTCGGCTCGCAAGGTAGTCCTCGGTTTCTACTTCTCCCCTTCTCTCTCTGTTGGGCTGTGTGTTTTTTTTATTATTGCGATTTCTGATACTGTTTGGTTAATTTTAGGTTTTTTTTTTTTGAGTTCATCGTGTCCTGCCTCTCTCTTTCTCTTTCTGACGGGCTGTGTCTATTTTTTAATTGTATCTACATATGAATAATTGCGATTTCTAATGTTGTTTTTTTGAGTTCATTGTGAAATTCGATTATATTTGATTGGATGTTATTGTTGTTGTTGTTTATATTCATGTTATTGTGTGTACGAATTTTTTCCTGGAAAAAAGTACCCATAAAGTGCCTTCAATTTATAAATGTGGTTTCACACAATCACAGCACCTTCGATCTTCCTTACCATTGCCAGACTTGGCTTGGAGAATGAGATTCAATTATTATGGTGTTACCCTCCCTCCGAAATTTCGACAATTTTAATTTTATTTTTAACAGGAAATTTCAACATTGTCGAGGAAGCATCATTGTATCAGTGAAGTTTCGGTTCAGTTCTTATCCTCGAGACAGTGAGTCTTCGCTCTCAGTTTTTAGATTTGATACATTGATTTCAATAAATTTCTTGATTTCTAATTTATCTTATTTGAAATATTGCATTCCAGTATAAAAATTGTTAATTTCTGTGTTTGATATTAAAGATTTAGATTTTGTAACAATTTTATCTGATGTAAAAATGTGAAACAACACATCTAGCAAAAATCAACTCAAACAGAAGGAAACAAGTCACCAATTCCTTTGTTGTTTTTCAGCTATGTTAACTTACAATTTCATTATTCTTTTTTGTTTTCCTCAAAGATGTTTGGTTCATAGAATTGTACAGCATTTGAGGATAACAGAGTATTTAACAATTCTTCCAAATTTGAGTTTGAATTCCCAAACGAGGCACAACTCTTGATAAAACAATGTAACCAAGAACAATAAAATGGCTGCATCATCCACAAAATAAAAATTCAATGATATGATCAATTTTTTTTTAATATGATATCACCGTTATATTAAATTTTTTTTTTTTAACGTCCAATGCCCATTTACAAACGAGTAATAGTGTGATAAGTAAATTTGTTTATCTTATCATTATTTTTACATTAGTGGAATGGATACCAATCATTAATTCAATTTGTTTTTATGGGATGATTGATAGCGGTATCATGGCTCAACACAATCCATATGTTGCACATATTGTTTTATAGTTTGGCAACTTATTAATTCAATTTGTTTTTATGGGATGATTGATAGCGGTATCATGGCTCAACACAAAATTATTGTTCATGGGGGAACCAAAATTTAAAGCTTAAATAAAAAAAAAAAAAAACTATCCATGCATTCTTCTTTAATTGAGTTGTCATTTGTACTTCTATTTTATTGCACTTTTCATCAGGTTTATTTAAGAAAATTAATTCCATGATTGTATCCATAAATCCTATATCACATCTCTCTTGCTCGCTTTGTATCACATCTCTCTTGCTTGCTTTGTATCTTCAAGTGATTAACAGGTTTCTTGATTTCTTCAGTGCAATGGTATTTTAAAGTGCGTAGGTTTCTTGATTTCAAATTTAAAACTCTCTCTCTCTCTTTTCTCTCTCTCAGCTTTTGTTGTTTCCTTCTTTCCCCCATCAGAGCTCACTCCGGTAAGTTATTTCTCTCAGATTTTGTTGTTTCACTCCTCTCCTTCTTTCTCTTTCAGCTTTTGTTGCCCTCCGTGAAATTTATAATTTTAAAGTTGCCCTTTTGTTCTCTATTCTGTTTAAAATATGTAGAAATTCAAACATGTCTACAACTCCAGATATTGATTATTCTTTGTTTTTCCTTTTCCCCTCCCGTTTCTGCCTCTGCTACATTAATTTTGTTTCCTAGCTCTTTGATTTACACATTAAGATGAGAAGGTAGACCAATGTAGCTCTTTTTTTTTTTTAGATAACTAAATGAAGAATTATGTTCTAAATCAAAATTACAGCGCTGATAGGAAGTTGACTGACTGGAATACAGGGAGAAACTAAGCCTGGGCGCAAAACACTTCTCCTGATGATGGTTTATCGGACAGACTTATGCCACTGGGACACCCAAGTATGTGTTCCATCAGTGCAATGGTGTTTTAAAGTGCGTAAGTTTCTTCATTTTTCATTCAAAATTTTTAAATATGATTCAAACTCCAAGGTTTATTTGGTAGCACATTGTTGTTCATTGTTGGTTTTCAAATAATTTCTTCTTCCATGTGTTTGTTTTTTTTATTATTTTTTTTATTTATTGAGTTGGCCTTTCATGTGTTTTGTATTGGCCACAACTGGTTGCATGTGTAATGCTTGATAAAAAGGTTCAGTTGGAAGGATCATTTGCTTACATATGTATTATCATGTGCAACGTCTCCTATTTGGAACTCTAGAACCTTTGTACACTTGAGAAAAGTCTAATATCTATATTCAAACATATTATTGTGATTTGTGAATAAGGTACTGCAAGTCCAAGGAAAAATCAAACACTGAATTTTCATTATTGATGAGTTCGTTTTTTTAACTTTTACATTTGATTCATTGTTTCCAGATTTATTGATGTTCATTTAGGTAATTTTTTGTGTAGTTAGTTCAGTTTATAGTTGTAGCAAATTTTGAAAATATTTCTCTTATATTTGGTTAGAATGGTTTAGATAATTCCAACTAAAAAGTGAAGCGTTGAGATTTTTTTCACTCTCTCACTATTTCCATTTCTCTCTTCTTTCTCACCATACCTCTTCTATCTTCTATTGACTCTTTCTCTTCTTTTCCTACACCTACAACACTGTTGTTCACCCCTAAGCCATCACCGACTCTGTTCGCCTCACATGTGCCTCCTCCGCATCCCCTTCATTCCCTGCTAATGATGTCGCCACCAGTGGCAATGGATGCCTCCCAAACCTTTTTTTTTTTTTTTTTTAATCTTTTTCCCATTTGTATCCTTTTTCCCATTTGTTTTCTTCACACCATGCTTTTAGGTACGGGCATACACTAAATTTTCTTTACACCGTGCCTCCCAAACAATGTATGATGCTAAATTTTCTTTAGGGAATTGACCCACAATGCCTAAAATATTGTTCTGTTGCTATACATGGTGTAATTGGTATTGTTTATGCATTTGTATTTGTTGTATAGGTACTTTAACTCATTGCAGAGTGAATGCTTTTCTACCTGTTTCCAATCCGATGTAAATATGGTCATTTCAGCACCAACGGGAAGTGGAAAAACAATATTTTTTGAGCTTTGCATTTTGAGACTGCTCTCAAGGTTCATCTCTACAGAGGGAAGATTTATTCACTTAAAGCGAATGCTTAAAACAGTAGGCTTTCTACAATTTTGTATATGAAAAATTTTTAGATGCTTATTTAAACATTGAAAAGTGCAGAAGATTATTGATTTCACACCTACAGATGTTCTTTATTTCATTAACTTTGTATTGTTGGTTGGTTTTGGGAATAAACTCCTCATGTTGTGGAAGGAATTTTGTTATTATTTGATTTATATACAGATATATAATATATTTTTAGGGTCTATTATACCTTATTGTCTGATTGATGAGGTCTATTATGATTGTTAAATCCATAATTGCTTCAACAGTTGAAATCTTTTCCTGTATGCGTTCACATTTATCAGTGATTAGAAAAGGGATGTACCTTACAAAACATTTACAGTAGTATTTAGTCCTTACATAGGTGTTTCCATGATTTTATATATCTGTTGTGTTACATAAGGTTTGAACAAAATATATATGGTCTCTCTGCACCATTAGTAAGTTGTTGTACTTGATTTTTTCTTATTTCCATGTGGTGTAGATTGTGCTGAGAATACATTTTTTAAAATCTCATGTGACCATGTAGGCAAGTTAAATTTTTTTTTTCCCTTATATTTTTTCTCATGTAGTTTTGGGTTTATAATTTGCAAAGAACTATTACAATGTTGAGTTGTGGCAATAGCACTAGCAAGTGTGCATTGCTTGGTGTTTAAAATTAATTTTTTTTAAATTACAAAGTATTGGTTGGTGTGCGTTTCAATTTTAATTTTTTTATAGATTATAGAGCATTGGTCGGCATGCATTGTTTGGTATTTCAATTTTAATTTGATTTTTTTTTTTTGTAATTGTCAAGCATTGGTTGTGCATTGTTTGGTGTAATTTTTTTTGGATTATTGTGTTAACAAATGTACAATATCTTTGGGTTGTGCGTTTTATTTTGTATCTATAAATTTTATTATTTTTTTTCACTTGCTTGGTAAGGATGCTTTTATTTTTAATTTTTGTGTTGATATGAAGTTTATGCTTTAGAGTCATAAAGTTTGTTAATAAAATCAAAATATTTATGATTGAATTACTTGCCGTACTTTAAATAGTTGATTAGGAAATGTTTATTTTTAAGTTTAAAAAAAAAAAAAACTTTTCAAAATTAACCAGACCTTGATTTATATTTTGACTTCAATTTTTTAGCAACAAATGGAATAAATTATATTTTAACCCAACAATTTTATATTCAATTATATTTTGATTTTATCATTATTAGCACCGTGCCTTTAGGCACGAGCATACACTAGTAATAATATATGAGCCCTATCAAATAAGTTTGACCTACATATTGCATTTTGAGTAGTACTACTTTAAACCAAATGCTAGCACTACAATATATAAGAGTTTTAGAAATTAAATATTTTGGTTCTTAAAAGTGAAAATTTTATTACAAAAGACATTTAAGGACTAATTTCCATCGTCGTGAGAACAGTCGCTAAAAGGTCGTCCCGAAAAGTTAAAAACAAGGCATTTAGCGACAAAATTTTGAAAATGTCTCAATAAATAGACTTTTAGGGACAAAATAATTTGGTTTGGAAATGGTTTATTTTTTGAGACAAAAAATTTGGTCCCCAAAAAATAATAATTAATCACCAATGTCCAATTTTTGTTGCTACAAATACAATGACACTTTTCGCAACAAAATTATTTGGTTCCTAAAAAATAATTTTGTACCTGAATTTTGGTCTCTAAAAACTTAATTTTTTGTAGTGCAGATTCCCTTTTTATTTTTTGTACATATTATTTTGGGATAATTACAAAAAAAAATCCTAAAGGTTTGGGCTTTTCAATAAAATAAATCATGAATTTTTAATTTTATCAATTTAAAACTAATCTTTTGATTTATTTTCAATCAAAATCATTCTTCTATTTTTATTAAGTAAAATCGATAGAAAATAAATATTTTAATTATTAAGCTTAATATACATATATATAAAATATCTGAAATATTATTTTTTATTGAATTTAATGACTAAAATATCAATTCTTTCATCAATTTTATTTAATATAATTAGGTAAATGATTAAAATTGAAAATAAATAAGAAATTTAAGTTTCAAATTGATAAAATAAAAAATTTATTTTATCTTACGGGTCAATCCCTGAAAGATTTTTTTTTGTAATTATTCTATTTTTTTGTTTGCGACATTAGATAATTTATTTTGTGTGCCCCTATCCTTGTACTACATAAATTGTGGTTGACATCAATATCACATAAAGAAAAAAGTCATAATAATAATGTGATATCACCAATTAATAATATATTATCATTTGCCTATCATATATAGATCCCAACCTCACTATAAAGAAATGAATGTTACATGGAAATTATAATAATGACATAGATGGATGGTTACAATTAAAAAGTAAAGTTCATTAAATCCCGTGTTAGGTTCTAATTAATTGGTGATACCACATGTGCCTCACCGTGGTATCACTGTTATGCTAAAGTTTTACATCATGTTCAGGTGAAAAAGAGGTTCCGGCAATTCAGGTTGAAGGAAAGCTTATTTGGATTAAAGAAAAAATTAAAATTATGTATATCATTATTTAATGACAAAATTTTTTTAAAAAAAAATTAACAAGAAGAACAACTTCTATTTATTGAAAAAACATAATATACAATTATGAGACACAATGACAAATCAAATTACAAGCCCTACCCCAAAGCCCCTGGCATTGAAATACTTGCACATGATTATTCCAAACAATAAACAACTTAACTCGGAAATTGCTTGTAAGATGAAAATGCGTGCGCTCGCACACACACACACTAACTAGTTTGATTTGAACCAGTAGACACAGGGGCGGCTCCACGGCATCCACAGGGTATTCACTGAATACCCTCAAATTTGAAATTTTAATATTTTTTTTTTTTGGGGTTTAGTTTAGTTTTGAATATCCAATCCAAAATTTGAATACCCAATCCAAGATGGTTGAATACCCCTCTGACCCACTTGGCCCATTTGTCTAAACAAATAATGAAACCTCCAGCCCACTTAGCTACTTAGCCCATTGGCCAAAACAAATAACCCTCTAGCCCACTTAGCCCCTTAGCCCATTTGCCTAAACAAATAATAAAACCCAAAAGAATTGCAATGAGATATATATATATATATATATATTATATATAGGCACGAATCTGCTGCTTGGAAGAATAAAGTCAAAAGTGTAGTTAGTTAGGGAAAAAAGTGTAGTTAGGGCACGAATTTGCTGCTTGGGGGAGGCTCAACGCTACTGTCGTTTTGTCTCTCTCAATCTCTCCCTCTCTTTTCGCGGTCCCCCCCTTATCTCTTTCTGTGGGTGGTCCCCCTCTGTCTTTCATTGTTGCCCATGGAATATGGATCATTGATGTTGGTATTGAATGAAGATGAAGTGGTTGTTGTCATGCTTTGCTATTGCTAACTGATTGTTAAGAAAAAGGCAAAAAGAAATTTGGGAATTATATCTCATCAGGTATTATTTTTTTATCTCTATAATATTAAAATTTATTTAAACTTGATACTATAAACAAAACCTTCCATCCATATATAATTAATTTTATAGTTATGTATGTTAACATAATATTTGGAGATTATACTTTGTTGTCATCAGGTATAATATTTTTTTAAGTTTCTTCACTTTATTTGTTTTAAAAATTAAATAGGAGCTGAAATTTTATAATCAATTTATTTATACTCTTGTAGTTATTTTTTTTCTATGGTTTATTTAGATAGCTCTGTTTTTTGTGTGGATATTTTTAGGTGCATCCTACTCTTTTGTTTAGTTCTCGAATTATGGACAAATTTCTGAAAAGAAAATCAACTATTGTACAAGACTCATCTCAATCCCAAGAAACTTGTGGTGATAGTCACATTCAAGATTCTTCGAAGCGAATTCGTGTTGACTTGAGCAACCTTCCTTCTGATCCAGGATTACGATCAAAAGTTTTGTCATATCATCCTAATGATAGGGACGAAATAAGAAGAACATATTTACAAAAAGGACCCTGTCAACCTCTTAGCCACAATTTCCCTCAAAGAGATATTAGTGGAGTTATGCGTCGATTTAATTCAGCTTGGTTTAAAGAATACAAGAATTGGTTGGAATATAGTATTGAAAAATATGCAGCATTTTGTTTATGTTGTTACTTGTTTAGGCCCGATTTAGGAAAGGGATGTGATACTTTTGTGACAGAGGGCTTTAAAATTTGGAATATGAAAAACAAGTTACAAATTCATGTTGGAGGTGTTAATAGTGCTCACAACCAAGCTGTGAAGAAGTGTGAAGATCTTATGAAGCAAAAGCAACACATTCAAAGTGTTTTTCTTAAGCAGTCAAATCAAGAAAAAATTGAATATCGGACTCCCTTAAATGCAACTGTTGATTGCATACGATTCCTTTTGCGTCGAGGGTTGGCTTTTCGTGTAAAGGAAATTTCCTTGAACTTCTACAATTTTTGGCGGATCATAATGAATCTATCAATAAAGTTGTATTGGGAAATACTCCGAAAAATAATAAGCTAACTCACCATGATATTCAGAAAGACATTGTGAATGCTGCTGCATGTGAGACTATCAATGCTGTTATAAAGGATTTGGACAATGAGTTTTTTTCAATTTTAGTTGATGAGTCTCGTGACATAGCAGTTAAAGAACAAATGGCAGTTGTTCTACTTTGTGTGGACAAAAATGGCATTGTTATAGAGCAGTTTCTTAGTATTGTACATGTATCAAATACAACCGCTTTATCACTTAAAGCAGCAATTGAATCCTTATTTTGTCGACATGGATTGAGTATGTCAAGGCTATGATGGAGCCAGCAATATGCAAGGTGAATTCAATGGTCTTAAAGCTTTAATTTTGAGGGAGAATAAATCTGCTTTTTATGTTCATTGCTTTGCCCATCAACTTCAATTGACTCTTGTAGCTGTTGCTAAAAAGCACATTGACATTGCTGAACTTTTTTGCTCTGTTGCTAACATAGTGAATGTTGTTGGTGGCTCTTGCAAGAGACGAGATGCTCTTAGAGATGCGCAATTTGCTAAAATAACAGAAGCACTAGACAATGGTGAACTTAGAAGTGGGCGAGGTTTGAATCAAGAGACTAGTCTTAAACGTGCTGGTGATACACGTTGGGGATCACATTTTGGGACAATTATCAACTTGATTTTGATGTTCTCTTCTTCGATTGATGTACTTGAGATTATTGAAGAGGATGGCTTACAACCCGAGCAAAGAGTTGAAGCTCGTTCTATCATGAAGTTAATGCTATCTTTTGAATTTTCCTTCACTTTACACTTGATGAAAAATATTTTAGGGATTACAAATGAGTTGTCGTTAGCATTGCAAAAGAAAAATCAAGATATTGTCAATGCTATGACACTTGTTAAAGTATCTAAGCAACGATTGCAGATGATGAGAAATGATGAATGGGAATCTTTATTGACTGAAGTGTCTTCATTTTGTAACAAACATGAGATTTCTATTCCAAATATGTATGAAATATTTGTAGTTAGTGGGCGGCCATGACGCAAAGCTTTACAAATTGCAAATTTACATCATTATCAAGTTGAGCTATTCTACACAGTCTTAGATATGCAACTTCAAGAGCTTAACAATCGCTTTTCAGAAGCAAATACTGAGTTACTTCTTTGTATGGCTTGCTTGAATCCTAGTAAATCATTATTTGCTTTTGATAAGCATAAGTTGATTCGTCTTGCAGAGTTCTATCCATATGATTTTTCTGCAATAGATTTAATGGTCCTTGACATCCAACTTCAAAACTACATTGTTGATATGCGCTTAAGTGAAGACTTTTTAGAACTTAAAGGAGTTGGTGATCTTGCTATAAAGTTGGTGGAGACAGATAAACATGTGATATATCCATTAGTCTATTTACTTGTGAAATTAGCATTGACTCTACCTGTCGCGACAGCAACAGTGGAAAGAAGTTTTTCAGCAATGAAGTATATAAAGAGTAACTTGCGTAACCGAATGGGAGATCAGTGGATGAATGATTGTTTGGTTACATACATTGAAAGAGATGTATTTGATAGCATTGATAATGAGGAGATTATGCAACGTTTTCAAAATATGAAATCTCGTTGAGGGCAATTGTAATATTTTATCTAATTGCAAGTTGTTTTGATGGCAATTGTAATATTTTATCTAATTGCAAGTTTTTTTTTTTGTCAAAACTTTAATATTAATATATTAGAGTTCTCTTTTATATTTGTTTTTTTAATACAGTTGTTAGATTTTAAGTTACTTAATGAATATCCTGATTAAAATTCCTGGAGCCGCCACTGAGTAGACACGAGCACAAACCTGACCAATTTCTCAAAATTTAAGTAAGATGACCCAACAGAACGAGCTGTGGCCTCTTTAGCCAACTTCTTCCACTCCATGACCTTTCTCTTCATCTCCTTCCCCTTCTCTCCAGCCATCAACTCTCTAACCATTCTGTCAACTTCCTCTCTCTTAACATCACTATTTATCTCCATCCCTACACCCTATTGGTTGCAACAAGACCAACAATTCGTCTGTTGATCCGCGAAGAAAGGCCAACACAACATAGGGATCCCATTGCAAATACTCTCAAGAGTCGAATTCCATCCACAGTGGGTCAAGAAACCTCCAACTGATGGGTGATTGAGGACTTGTTCTTGAGGGCACCAACTTGCTAATAGACTCCTTTCCTTAGTCTCATTCACAAAATCTGGTAGAAGAATGGCTGAGTCACCAATAACCAAATCAGGCCTAATGACCCATAAGAATGTTGGTTGCTATTAGCAAGTCCCCAAGCGAGTTCAATCAAATGTTGGGGTGTCATTACAGTGATGCTGCCAAAGTTGACATAAATGACAGAGTTGTGTTCTTTCGAGTCAAGCCATGATAAGCACTCTATTTCTTCTTTCCATAGGCTTGATCCAACGGAATTCAAGTGATTTTGTGGGAATTGGTCGAGGAGAAACTGAAGAGGGCCAATGGTGTAAATGGGTGGGTACATTGTGGAAAGTGCTTCTAAAACATCGGGTTCTAAAGCGTTGAAGGTATTGAAAATGATAGCGGAACCTTTGTGGGCTTTGTCAATTACCTCCAAAACGAAATCAACCACTACAAGAATTCACACATTTGCCGACCACTTTTGCCGACCAAAAAAATTTTGGTCGCAAAAAAATGACATTTAGCGACTAAATATTAATTAGTCGCGAATGATCATTATTTTTGGCGACCAAATATTATTGGTCGTAGAAGGTTATATTTTGGCGACAAAAAAATGAGTTGGTCGCAGAAAGTGGTATACTTTTGCCGACCAACTACAAATTTGGTCGCGGAAGGTCACATATTTTTTGGCGACCAAAAATTTGGTCGCGAAAAACTTATTTTCCGCAACCAAAAAAAATTAGTCGCCAAATTAGTACTTTTAGCGACTAATATTTTAGTCGCCGTTGATTGAAATTTGGCGACTAAAAAAATTTGTCGGCGAAAGAACCTGTTTTTGCGACTAATTTGATCTTTTAGTCGCCAAAAGTTTGGGGAGAAATTTGAAACGTGGGGCGGGAATTGAATTTCAGAAAAAAAAAAAAATTAAAGCCCTGATCTTCTTCGTCTCTATCTAAAAAAAGCCCTAATCTGTGTCTCTCTATGTTGGCCCGCCCCTCCCTCTTTCTGTGTTCTCTCTCTCAATCGGTGCCCACTCTCTCTAGCTCACCGAAGTCCCTCACCACCATTGCTCACGTCGGTCGCACGTCGCCACCGCTGCAAATCGCCATCGCCAATAATTTTCTACTTCACACTGTTGATGCATCAATCGAACCCAGATTAGGGTAATTTGGTTTAATATGGTGATATGTAATAAGTTTCTCCTAATATTGGATCTCTAGTAATCAATTTCCTTTGTTGAGAAAGAACCCAGATTGGATGTCTCTCTCTCTTTCCTTTCTCTTCATCGGCATCAATTTTCTTCCTATGAACGAAGATCAATCGAAAACGACGACATCGATCGCCTCCTTCTCGTCCATTCCGATCTCTCCTCTCTCAGTCACCAGGTAACTAATTCGTACTTCTAGAGAGAAATGAGATAGCAATTTCATATTTGATCAAACAATGGTTTGGAGAAAATTGATTCACCGAACTGCATTATTCTCTCTCCTTCAATTTTGTCACAAACTGCATATATATATATATATATATCTGCTACGTGATCAGAAGGAAGACTACAGATGATTAATCTGCATATATATTAATCTGATAGATTTTACGTGATCAGAAGGAAATTGTTTTCACCGAGTTCGACGTCTTTTTCGTGATACAGATGATCAATTGCTTCTCTTTCAACCTCTTGGCCTCTAACCTAGGTAATAAATTCCCACCTGAACAATTTGATCTCTTGTTCTTGAACTTCACAACGATTTCAATTGGTTTAGGGCTTCACATGTTTATTAAATCAATATTAGTGTTGTTGGAGATATGGGTTTTATTAGATTCGTATCAATTTTGATTGGATTCGATGCTAAATTGAGGTTTGATTGAGTTGTCAAGCTATTACAATTCAAGTATTAATGCACCAAACCAATTGATGGTTTGAAAACACCTATATGGTTCCTGGAATTGTATAATGCATACATACCAATGAAATTTTTGTAAGAAGTTTATGCATTGGTTCTAGATGTGTTGAAAGGGTACAGTATAATGGTTCATGATTACGAATGGGTGTGACTCTCTTTTTTATTTTATTTCAATATCTGCATACCATTTGGAGTTTCATAATTCTCTGCAGATGTACTGCCTGTCTGCCTAAAGTACTGAACTTTTATTCTTATGTGTATTGTAGGGGCTTTTTGGTAGATAAAAAGAGGGGGTTTAATTGTTAGAGTCGAAGCAAGAGGAGGAGACGAGATCATGAATACTGGGTTTTTGGAGGGATTCTATCTAGGGTTTCGAGTGCGATGGCATTGGATGCGCCCTACCTGTTGAAGCTCCTCCTAAGGTTAGTCCTCCCGTCGCTACCACACCTCTGGTCTCGTCCTCTCTCTCTCTCTCTCTCTCTCTCTCTCTATTGCTCCATCAGATCTGGTCTCAAACACATGATTTACTATCTCCTAGCTCTTCGATCTAGCCTTTCTTCAGTCGAATTGTACTCTTTTTAATCTTTCAGTTGCTATTTTTGGTCTGCTCCTTTTCAATAGAATCTCATTCACTTTGATCTTTCTGTTTTTCAATCTCAGTATTTTCAATTTTTTCAATCTATGTTTGTATATTGGTAGAACATAATTTTATGTATTTCTAATCAACATAAGTTTTAGACTATGTTATTCCTTTTTGTCTGGAAGGAAGAACATTAGAATCGTTGATTTTTTTTTTTTTTTTAAATTCAGATTAAGGTGAGAATGAGATTCAGCCCAGTTGATGTGGGAGCCATGAGAAGATAATAAATTGATTACTAGTATGAAGAGTTAGTCTTGTTAGTATAAATTGGTTATTGCATCATTTTTTCTATTTATCTTAAATTTTCTATTCCCTGAACATGTTAGTGTATGAACCAAGACTGCACTGGATGTACAACTCTCTCAATAAGTCAACAAAATCAAGTATGGAGAAAGAATAGTCTCCCTAAGCCAAAACAACAAGACCTTTGTTTTCTCTCATTCCACAAGCACCATATGAGGCAAAGAGGAATAACCTCCCACGCTCTCCAAACTACCTCTGGACAACCTCTCCTTCAAGAGGCAAACAAATCCTGAACTGAATAGGGCATCATAAATAACAATGGTGTAAAAAGATAGTTGTCACTTCCACCTCACTCTTGCACATGTAGCACCAATCCATCAAAAATTTTCCCCCTTCTCCTCAGATTATCAATTGTCAAAATAGCTTCTTGTGCAATTGTCCAAGTAAAGAAGACCACGTAAAAGGATTTCGAGCACCATAAGGTCTAGAACTTCTCGCTGGTGCAGATATTTCTGTCTTGAATTATGCTGTTTGGTGGGGCAACAAGGGGTGCACTTGTCAAATTTTCAGCAAAGCACATAGAAATTAGGTGCAGAAAAGTTGAAAAATGCTAAGCTTGTTTGTCTTTCTGGCCCAAAAACAAGGTTGATTCAAATGAGCTTGTCCATTTTTGAATACATGATGAAACGCTAGTTGTTTGCAGATTGCTTTTTAACACTGGTTTCAGGAATTGGATGTATATACAATATATAGTGGTTTCATGTTGAATATATAAATTCTGAAAAAAAGGCTTCCTATTCTTCGATTTTCTTGTATACATATTTGCTTTAAAAGCATCAATTTTTGTTGTTCATACCTGACTCTTCATTGATTTAATCCCATTCTGTTCTCCAAGTTATGAGAAGAAAACGAAGAACTAACACTAAAAGCTATTAAAGGATCTCGATCTGTTTGGTGGTTTCTGGAATCATGCCAAGAAGTTCAAGCTGTAATCAATTTTCTAAAACACAGGTGATTTCCTTTAGAAACTCAGTAAAACTTGATAATGGCAGATCATTGAGCAGGTTGATTGCCTCCTCATATGGCTCACTACAGCAGTCATCTTCAATCTTTTTATGGAGACATTAAATAAGTGTGAATGTTTTGACTACAGGCTGTTTCCTTGGAACTATGCTCAAGTCGTGTGCCTGTACTTACTCTTCAGAACTTTAAAGATCTGTGTCGGTTTCTTGTAATATTAGTTCAATCCTCTTTTGGTTGTTTTTCCCCATGATTAACTTTAGATGATCAT